ACCCAAAATTTTTATCCGATCGACACTCCTAATATATATATATATATATATATATATATATATATATATATATATATATATATATATATATATATAGGTAGAGAGAGAGAGAGAGAGAGAATACACAAACTCCTAAATAGACATATAAATTCAAGAACACACACAGCAGAAACATACATTTAAGAAAATGCACAACAAACACATACACTCAAGAACAACTAATTGTCTACCACCACCATCATTTGCCACAACCACTACCTTCAACCACCTCCATCCAAATCTCCTCTGCTACGTCAATCTCCGCCCAAAAATGTTCCAAATCTCCTCTACCACCACTATCCATCACCATTACTATAACGCCTGTAGATTCAGGTAGTTAGTTTGTAGACAATAAGCGTTAAAAAATGACTTTTTGATATAAGATTATTTAGAATAAATAATCTTAATTAAGTTATAGTATATGTCACAAGGGTTCCGTACATATAAAGAACACTGAAACCCGAGTTATAACGAAGAAGTTATGACTCGTCGAAGTTTTATGGCTAAACCGGCACGACACCGCGTAACGTAAAAAATGAATTTTTGATAAATTACTTTTTAGCCTTAGCAATCTAAACGAAAGTCATAGTATACGTTAAACAGAGAACGTGCAAAAAAAAACGTCCAAGTATGACTTCATATGAGGAAGTTATGATTTATCTAAGATTTAGCATAGAAGTGCACAACCCGAAATTCGAATTTTAGATCGATCAAATTTTGGCTGACGCAACCTAAGTGAGAATTGAAGATCTCATTAATAAGAGTTCAACGATAAAAAGACAAACGAAAACGGAGTCCGTATGTAAAAGTTATGAATTTTACATGGTCGTTTAACAATATAATCTTCTCATACTGTTAAATTTAAAATAAGTCAAGAATTAGCTGATGGAGTCAAAAGGAGAGTTGTAGATCTTGTCAATACCTACACTTGTATATAAATAACATCGAAAACAGAGCTCGTATGCGAAAGTTATATGATTTAGAAGTCGGCAGGGTGCTGCTGCGAAGAGGGTGACATGATTGAATCTGGGCCATTGGTTTGTCCCTAAGCCTTGCCACCAGAGGGTGACATGTGACACCAACTCGACGAGTTGAGTAGTATTTCAGCCTATAAATACCTTGCGAAGGTGCCTTCATTTCTCACACCTTCCACTATTTCTTTCTCACTCTAAACTCTCTCTAAATCTCCTACCCCCCACCCTAAAGCCCTAGGAATCTCCCCTAGCGCTAGAAGAAAGCTCCGGAGCGCCTGAAGGCTCCAAGAAAAATAGCTTTTCGGCTCAGAAGCTCTGCTATAGTGGAACTCGGTTTTTAGCAAAACTCGTTGTAAGTGGGATACACCTACCTTACTTTAAATATAGATTATGTTTAAATATAATATTGTTATTGTGAACTTATGACTAAGATTTATCAATGATTCCAAGTTGTTATACTGATTGATCTACTCACGGGGATGATGTTTAGGCTGTGATTTAGTAAGGTGTTTAAAGTAGGATTTCCAAACAGTATACTTCGTATACCAAACGGACCCTACCTCCGATATGATCCTACCTGGTTGTTCCTTACTTGGTAGATCATGAAAGTAGACTTTGAGTTAATGATGAATCTAGACTAATAATTAGTCACAATAAAGATTAGACTAAAACTTAGCGATAATAATGCTAGGTTTTATCGAAGGAAAATAGAATCATTAGAAGCGAAGCGCTGCCCAAGTTTGGAATCATCACTTTAACAAGTAAGTGCATAGTCCCTTTCATGAACATGATTTTAATACAACTATTGATTGAAGTATTAAATATATGTTTATGTGCGAATTATTTTATGTTGCTTGAAATACGTGTTAAAGAACATACCTGATAATATATGATGATTTAGGGTAAAAGAGTAAACCTAAATTAATTATGTATTGGGTACTATCTTCTTATGAGTACGAGTTAGATATACACGGAGAATAGAACTTTAAAATATGTCATTAATTCGGGAGCATGGATTAGACATGGTCATTTGTCCTTAGTCCGAGAGTATGGATAGGACATAGTTATTTGTCATTAATCTGAGAGTATGGATTAAGACATAGTTAGTTGTCCTTAGTCTGAGAGTATGGATAGAACATAGTTATTCGTCAGTGATTTGAGAGTATGAATTTAGACATAGACAATTGTCCCTAGTCCGAGAGTATGGAATGAACACATTTATTGATCTGAGAACATGGATTAGATCCGGGAGTATGGATTAAGTAAAGAGGTAAATTTTAAGGTCCGAGAGTATGGATAGTGCCTTTGTGAGGATTGACGAGGTGGGGTAAGAGTTGCTTATATATGGTGAAATTATATATTTTGTGAGTTCTAATATATATATATATATATATATATATATATATATATATATATATATATATATATATAACATTGTGGGATTGAAATCCCTATGTACTCACCAGGTTTCCCAACCTGACCCATTCAATTTATTTGTATTACAGGTGTCGATATGAAGCTACATTACACTAAGAGATTAAGGAGATGTAAATCACTAGTGTAAATGAATGTAAAGTCTGTTTATGCTGATGTTTTTATACCTACGATGACATCCCAACGTTTTAAAAGGAATAAAATATATTTCTTCGGAAATGCTTTGATAACGTATTTATCATGTTCTTCTGGGAACAAATTCTGCAACATATTTCTTTAAAAGATACTCTGATTTTCAAAATAAAGCATAGACAAATCGGTATTTTCTGGTCGTGAAAATGGGGATGTCACAATTACTATCTACCCGCACCACTATATACGATGTTGGAACCCTACCCGGAACATGCACACATATAAACATCTGGTTTCATTTTCTTGACTGATTTTAGGTCAACTCTTATCCTCTTGTCACCGCCCCTGAAAAACCTAGAAATGTTTGTTCAAAAACCTAAAAAGTCGATTATGATGCTTAGAATCGAAGACAAAATGGAGAAACCACATGTGATTTTTGTGTTTTTGTGTCCATCTACGACTAAAAATCGTTCTAAAATGATTTCAGAATGCATAAACACATTTGATTCCAGACAGACACAACACTAAGAACATACACATAAACTCCTGAGCAGACACATACATTCAAGAACAGCTACAGCATAGACACGCATTTAAGAACACGTACAACACACAAACACTCAAGAACAACTAATTGTCTACCACCACCATCATTCGCCACAACCACTACCTTTAACCACCGGTGTTCAAATCTCCTCTACCACATTAATCTCTGCCCAAAAAATGTTCCAGATCTCCTCTACCACCACTACCATATATCCCCACCACCATATATGATGTTGGAACCCTACCCGGAACATGCACGCATACATATATTTGCTTTCATTTTCTTGACTGGTTTTAGGAGTCAAATCTTATCCTCTTGTCACCGCTCCTGACAAACCTAGATATTTGTGTTCAAAAGTCGATTATGATGCTTACAATCGAAGAAAAAATGGAGAAACCACATGTGATTTGTGTGTGTGTTTGTGTCCATATATTACTAGAAATCGTTTTAAAATGATTTCAGAATGCATACACACATTTGGTTTCAGTTTCTTGACTGGTTTTAGGAGTCAAATCTTATCCTCTCTTCACTGTCCCTGAAAACCTATAAATTTGTGTTCAAAAACCTTAAAAGTCGATTATGATTCTTAGAATTGAAGACAAAATGGAGTAACCACATGTGATTTGTGTGTGTTTGTGTACATCTATGACAAGAAATCGTTCTAAAATGATTACAAATTCACATACCGACACATTCTTCATCGGGAAATCTGCGAAAAAGTCCCAAAATTTTGCCCCAGTTTATGATTTAGTCCTAAATTAAATTTTACTTATGAAAAAGGACAGATTATCGGCTAATACACTCAGTTTGGCCCTAACAACCGGTAATCCTTATAAGAGCCGGTTACCCCAGCTCATTAACCTTATCACCCTCCATTAAACACCCCGTCATCAACTCCTCTATAAAAAACCCCTTCTTACCCTCCATCAAAGCAAAATGGCATCTTCAAGCTCAGTGGGAAGTAGGAGCAATATCCGATCACGAAGGCAAGCATTAAGGGCAACATGCTTTTGTGAAGACCCCGTTGGTAAGTGGACATCATGGGGGCCAACAACCCTGGCAGGAGGTTCATCGGCTGCCCTAATTTCCGGGTAAGTATCCCTTAAACCTCTTTAATTACATCTCAAATGTCTTCCAATTAGGTTTTATTTCCTATATAACAGGATGAGGAAAAAGATTGCAAGTATTTTGCTTGGGTCGATCCCCCATTACCAAACAACTGGTACAGAAACTTGTTGATGGAGTTTCACAATAATGACATTCAAGTACACAATGAGTTTGCGGAAGAATTTGTGTAAGAAGCTGTGGATTTTCACAACAATGGCATTCAAGAGGTTCCTGTACAAGGTGAAGGTGAAAAATGGAAGATTGGGTTTTTTTTGTGTTTGTTGGTGATTGTGTGGATTATGTTGAAGTAGTTTTAAGTTGTTGTAAAAGTGTTAAATGACAGTTGGATGTAAGTTGTATTTTGTTGAATGAAAAATGGTTTATTGGATACCTACTGTTTGAGCAATGTACAATGAAGGATGTTTTTCAATATAACATAATTTATACATCAACAAAATGAACAAAATGAAGGATATTTTTCAATATAACATAATGAACAAATGAACAAAATGGATGTAAGTTATACATCAACAAAACATACCAAAATCAGCCAAAGTGTTTACAAAAGAAAGGGCATATCCCTATTAACAAATTTACCAAAAAGGGCTTCCTAACAAATTTGCCCAATCTGAAGTCCCAAAGTGTTAACAATGCAGCCATATTGTATATTGTTTACAAAAGAAAGGGCATATTAACAAATTTACCAAAAAGGGCTTCCTAACAAAGTTGCCCAAGTAGCCCATATAACTGCTTAAATCCTAACCAATCTAATCCAAATTAAGTGGTTTTTCTGGAGCCATTCCTTTTCCTTTCTTGTCAATCACAGTTTTCTTCAACATGTTTTTAGTGATCCTTTCAGAAGTTTTTCTTGTTCTAACCCTGACTTGAGTTCTAACCCTAACTTGAGTATCATCAACACCCTCCTCCTGTGATTCTTCAGCTCCATCTTCATCATTGTCCTCCTGTGATTCTTCAGCTTCATCTTCACCATTGTCCTCCTGTGTTTCTGGTACATCTTCACCATTGTCCTCATGTGTTTCCTTGCATTAGAAAGAATACAAGTTAGTTATGTTATTGAAAAATAAAATTCACTGTCAGTGTTATAATATATACCTTTGCAACTTGTTTGGATTGGTGAATCAAAGCATCAAATCCTTTCAGTTGTGATTGGGTGATATTAAGACACATAAGAATCTCTGCTTCACTGTATTTTGACTCTCTAAGGTAACTCAAATCACTCAGTATTTGATCTAGGTCAGACATATCAATACCATCACCTTCATCATCAATGTTAACATCAGCTTCCTGTGTTTCTGATACATGTTCACTGTCAACAGTAGGTGCTGTTTGGGTGACAAATTGACTCTCAACATTAGGTGTTGTTTGGGTGAAAAATTGAGTCTCAATCCCAGGTTCTTTTTTCCCAGAACTTTCACCTTCTTCACAAACACTAGTAGACCCTCTTCCACCACTTCTACCCCATCTTCTACCACCTCTTCCACCACCTCTTCCACCTCTTCTACCACCTTTTCCACCACCTCTCCCAAGTCTAGTGCAATTGGTCAATTATGGATTCAACCTTGGCCTTCCTATTTTCTTCTTAGGATTTGGTGTTGGTTGGACTGAGGGATTCTTGCAAGACACTTTATTGTGCCCCATTTGCATACAATTCTGACATTGGACAGTTCTACCCTTAGAGGAGACTTGCGAAAACCTATCTAGATGCTTAGACACATGCCTTTTCCTTTTCATACAAGGCCTTCCTGGAATCCTTCTTTCAATAGGTGGTAGTGGTTTGGTGTAAGGTGTTGGTTCCCACATATTACTGCCATTAACAGGAAGGATGTTAGACTCATAAGCACTTAAGAACTTATCCTTACCAAACCATGTGCTGATGAATCTAGCTGGATCCTGTTGTGTGTAAATTATGGTTGCTTGTGCATGGACACAGGGGATCCCAGATAACTCCCAAAGTCTGCATGTACAGTACATCCCCTCTAAGTTCACTCCATATGAGTGGAAGCCATTTCTCACTTCAAAAGCATTCAAACCACTAGGATGAACATACCAAGTCCTGCAAAAACATTAACAGTTTTAATTAGTGTACACATTAATAGTTTCAAACCAGTAGGATAAACATAATACTTACTTGATATCAAAAGCAAACTCATCCATTTTCTTAATAGCTCCTGGACACACATTATTCACCCATTTACGTGCTTCTTGCTTCAAGTTAAATAACCTTTCCATCATATACAGTCTAATCTCCTCAGGCATGGCCAACAAAGGCTTCTTTCTGGCATCAAGTATGATTGCATTAAAACACTCTGCCATTCCATTTTCAACAGCCTCACATGCCATTCCACCTTTAAAAAATGCCCTGCACCAAGATTTAGGCTCCCTTGCCATCAAATGATCATAAGCAGCAGGATTGACTTCTTTGATCTTCTCCATATTCAATTTGAAGTCTCCTTCAACAGTTGACTTGGCAACTGTCCAAAACATATTCTTGAACTCTATACCACTAAAGACCTTTCTGAAATTTGCATACACATGTCTTGCACATTGTCTGTGCTCCACACGTGGCAATACAACCTTTACAGCTTCCAAAAGACCCTATCAATTACATTAAAAAATATCATTACTAACTGCTTTATCCATGTATAAATGAAATGAAAAAGGAGATAATTCAAAGCATTACCTTGTGTTGATTAGAAATAACACACAAATCCAAGCCTCCTTGTAATTCCAGGTCATCATGTAATAGTTCCAAGAACCATTGCCAGTTGGGCTTGTTCTCAATTTCAACTACTGCCCAAGCAATGGGATACACATGGTTATTTGCATCCCTCCCTATGGCAGTTAGCAGCTCACCTCTACATTGTCCTTTCAAAAAACTCCCACCAAGCCCTATAACTCTTCGACAACTAACTTTCCATCCTTCTTTGATAGCCTTAAAACATGTATACATTCTATGGAAAGTAGTAGTGTTATCAGGGTTTACAGTGACAGATATTTGAACTGTACTCCCTGGATTAGACCTCATCAATTCATGTCCATAATCCCGAACTTCTGCATAGTGATCAGCCAACTTTCCATCTATTAAAGAAATTGCCCTACACTTTGCTCTATAACATTTTGACCATGAAACCTTGCAATGGAACCTGCTTTGAATAATAGCTTGCATTTCCTTACATTTCAGATTTGGTTTCCTAATCATCTCCTTCTGAAACTGCCTAGCTATCCATGTGGGATCCATAAGATTAGCACTACGGAAATTCCTAACACAGGTATGTTGGTCAACCATTTTTTTGATTTGGAATGTTCTTTCAGTGCTCATCCATGAGGCCCTTACAGGAAAGGGACATTGAAATTTCTCAGGGTCACTTGCACATACAGCCACGAGCCTTACACTATCACATTTCTTGAACCTAATTGGATAACCCCTACTTATAGAGTAATTTGTCAAACAAAGCTTTAGTTGGTGTGGTGATTCATACCTCTCTCCAAGAACTGGCTTCATATTATTCCATTTCACCTTCGGTTCATGGGTTGAGTATTGAAACTGAAATTTGTCTTCATCGTCACCCTCACTATCACTCTGCTTTTCCTGCGGTGCTTCATCTTCCGACATTCCTTCAAAATCATTTAGGTTTATCTCAAGTATGGTGCATTCGTCAAGCGATTCGTCTGTGAGAGTATTTAGGAACTCATCTTTGCATTGACTTCTTTCTTTGTGTTTGAAAAACTCATCCAATTCCACGTCAAAGGTATCGAAGTCATATACTGTCTCCATTATCACTACAAAACAAAAATTAATGAAATATTTTAAGGGAAACACGATATTCGAGGGCCACATGGATTTTCTTACCTTTGATTCTTCTCAGGTAACGTTTGGCTTTGATGGAGGGTAAGAAGGGGTTTTTTACAGAGGAGTTGATGACGGGGTGTTTATGGAGGGTGATAAGGTTAATGAGCTGGGATAACCGGCTCTTATAAGGATTACTGGTTGTTAGAGCCAAACTGAGTGTATTAGCCGGTAATCTGTCCTTTTTCATAAGTAAAATTTAATTTAGGACTAAATCATAAACTGGGGCAAAATTTTGGGACTTTTTCGTAGATTTCCCTTCTTCATCATGTTCCTCCCTAGAAATATAGGTTTGTTCTTAGTTCTAGAAATTAATACACATACAAACACACTTATTTCAATTTTAGAAATATGGGTTTGTTCTTGATCGTGTCTATCCTTAGAAAACCAATTTCAAATTACATACACAAATCTATTTCTAGGGATGAACACCTACACACATTGATTTCATTCATTATTTTAATTAGTGCATCAGTTTGTTGAGTATAGAATATGTTGTAACACTCTGAAGCTTCAAAGTTAATATATGAAATAGTTTTTTTTGAATGGCATGGTTAGTATTTGCATGAGATTGAACCCAAGACTTGGTCCTAATTAGAAACTCCAAGTTAGACACCTTGTTAGCCAAGTGTGATAGCCCCAACTTGTGTATTTGAAATAGTTGATAGAGCAAATTATGCTCATTCCATATGAAGTCATGATGTAGGTTTAAGATAATGCTTCTAACTTTAGTGTAAGTTAGTGTGAGTACTCATCACACGTGTATGCCCATATGTTAAAATATGGTTGGTTATGTCTACACCGCCTCTTCTGTGAAGAATTAGGTGTATGCCAATGTTTGGAGTAATGTTCTTAGTGCCAGTGATTGATAATTTTTTTTGTCTATGATCATGTTTTGAATAAAAAAGCCGTTATATTTTGTTTTTATTGGTCAGTGGATTCTTTACCCACTAAAATCTCAAATGTTTAAACCATTGCAAGTTTTCTATCATTTTCTATTAAAACAAATAATAGCATCGCTTTTTCATAAATAACATTAAAGTTCATGACTTTAATGGAGATTTCTTTTCGATAAATTAAACTTATTTGTTATTTTACTTCTAATCATAAATCTCTAACTTTTAACCTAATAATATTAATTCTTAATATTGTTAGATGTAAAATATTATTGGATTGAAGATTCATATGAAAACATTAGAAAACCCCTTTATATTGAGGGAACTAATATTGGAATGTGTGCCAAATTTTGGAAAATTGAAATTGACATTAAAATCCTATAATCAACCTTCTAAATAAAATTACGCAATCTATAAAGTAATGAAAATATAAATTCTGTCATTCAAATCAAAGAAAATAAAAAAGATAAATTGCAAAAAAATGAGAAAAACTGAGATTTGGAGGCCTAAATTGCAGAACTTGAGGATCGATTGTGGGGTTTTGATGACCTGCCAAGAGCTTTGTCTCATCAATAGCTTCTAACGAATTACGGCCTCTAAATTCCCTACGGATCAAAAGTTATGCATGTTTGAAGTTGGGTTTCTTTTGGCCTCATTTGTATTGTTCTCATTTACCCATAAATGCTTCAGCCAGGTCTTCAATATGTTCATCTGCAACATAAGTTACAATGAAATATGAGCATGGTTTTGGATTGGTATTGATGTAGCGGTCAATCGATTAACTAATGGTCAACAAGTGATTAGTTAGCCTAAAATTGAAGTTGGTAAAGCTTAGTAAGAGTTATATTGTTGATCTTAATTATACATATCTCATAATTCTTTTGTTACACTTGAAAACCATATTTGAAAACAATTTTGAAAACTTATACAGATCCTCAGTTTGAGTCTAGATTCACACAAATGCTCATCCAATTCGCTCAAACCAGCGCTCTGATACAAACGTGTAACATCCCGAATCAAGATAAATTTTTTCATTTTGAAATCAAGAGAACCCAATGTTTTCAAACAAAACCCATAACAAAACCAAGTATAAAAATACAAATATCCCAAGATTAGTGTATCATAAATCTTCAAAAACATGTCATCGATAATGTGTATGATCATGCCTTTACTTTCCCACGATATTCTGAAATACCTGATACAATACACTGAAACTATAAGTCAAATCTTAGTGAGTTCCTCTAAAGTATCACCATACAAACATACAACAACACACATACTAGGTCCACAACTATCAGGTTGGATTACCCCCGAGCCTACAAAATGAGTCTAGCTTGCCTTATTGGCCCACAACCCATGTCTTCCTTGCTTTCGAGCCCACATCATAAGTCTGGCTTGCCTTACTAGCCCTCAACTTATGTCTGGAATGCTCCTGAGCCCACAACTTAAGTCTGGATTGCCTTACCGGCCTACAACTTATGACTGGTTTGCTCCTGGGTTTGTTGGCTTCTGCACAAAGCAATATTTCATAAACCCAACTGCACTTTATCGACATATGCAACAGATAAACTTATAATCAGTTAGCAGGAAAATCATACAGATCTAACAGATCACTACATCATAACAACTTCCTATATTCCAGGATTTAGATCTAATAGATCAATGCAACATAACAACATCCGATATACCAGGATACAAATCTAATAGATCACTGCAGCGTTACAACATCCTATATACCAGGATACAGATCTAACAGATCACTATAACATAAAAGCATCCTATATACCAGGACACATAATATTGTGGGCTGGCATTGGTGCATTCGATCCACAAATACAATGAGAAAAACTCATCTCTCAGTTTGAAAAGATAGCTAGACAAGACACTGCTCCGAATATCAACTCTATCGGTCACCTATTCATTAAAAAATAACCAAATTCAATTACAATTCAAAATACCCAAAATACCCTAGGTCCAACTTGGTCAAAATATGGTCAAAGTCAAAATTCACTAAGTCAGCCGATTTGACAAAGCTGAGTACGCCCAACGTACTCAACTTGTATGCTTAGCGCACTCAAGATCTAGGATCGGAGCTATGACATCCCAAAATTTAGGTCATAGACTGCGAACGGTTAAAATACGGTAAATCTCTTTGTAATTTAACCTATTGAGTTTTAGTGCATCTAATATAAAACAAATGAGTTCATTTCAATTATTATATGATACCAGATGATACCTTGCTTCCGAATATGTAAACTGTCAAACGAATCAAACAACTCAAATTGAAACACTAGTTAATGCATCTAAAAAATTGAAAATTCTTATTAGAAATTTACGAGCAAATAAAACAATAAAACCTTATAGTACATGCTCCCCTGTTTCTGAAAATATAAAGAACGTCCAAAACATAGTTCATATGCAGAAGTTATGACAATTTTAAGAAAACAGATAGTAAAATATTGATTTTCTTTAATCGAGTAAAATCGAATCGATCCGTCGAGGCACTTGTACACATCCGATGGAAAATTTGAGAGTGTTTTTGGACTCAGGCTATGGTCTACTATTTAATTTCATACTCAAAATATTTTAGTGAAAATATTTGCAGAAGTTGAAAAATCGAGAGTTACTGGCCATTTGGATGTGAAACTTTAAACGCGATTTAATGGAGTTCCATAACTCGAAAAATTAATCTGTTTGGGTTTCTGGAATCATTGAGTTAAACTCTACCATTCACCACCTTCAAAAAATATATTAGATGTTCCGAACCCGGTATGCAAAACGAGAAGCATTTTTAGGGCATTTAAGGCTTGATTGGTCAATTGTTGGGGTCCACCTTATGGGATCAACCATGAGCAAGCCCCTAGGACCCCCCATAACCGTCCCCAACCCCTTCCCTCTTCCTTCTATGCCTCTTTTCACAATACTTCTCTCCAAAGTACATAGCACGGGCTACCTTGAGTGTTTAACATACAATTAAAGTAAGGGCTTGCATTGCATGAGAGAGGACTCTTATAGTTTAAATAAGAGGCCTTGAAGACCTCCTAACTCATACCAAATCCGTTCATACTTCACTCAAACATCCAATCTCTCTCTCTCTCTCTCTCTTATGCTTGAAAGTGCTCCAATTCCTGGTTTGACACGTATCGTAAATAACCCCATATCTCCGTCATCTCATCCCTGTATTACTACCACCCAACACTCCATGGTAGCTAGGACACACCCCTACTATCCCTCTTACCCCACTCCCCTTGGAATAGCTCCCATCGGTGCCAAAATCTCGATCAAGGCAGCCCACTGAAAAGCTGTTGCAAATATATCCCTTCATAACATCACCACCTTATACCACCACTATCACCTCCTTATACCTCCCATAATCATCATCGGAATACCATCCCACAACCCCTGCCATCTCCTGGTTCCCTCTCCCTTCGTTGATCACCGATAGAAAGCAGAAAAGGGCAACAAAGTTGCCGGAGCAAGCCCCTGCCACCTCACCACCGTTCACTGCCACCGTGCACCACCCTCTGCTACTTGCTACGCATTGTAAGTCCAGCACCGCCATCAATGTTTTCTTGTTTGCGTCATTCCCGTTGAATACCCTTCCATGTTCCTTTCGATTTTTTTCTTTTGTGCTGCATGGTTTATGATCAGGAAGGGGGAGGAGGACCTCTTCCACTGTTCAAAGTTCCTTTTAAAATAAATTCCACTTACCCAATTTCTAAATTTATTACAAAATCAATCCTAACCCCCACAAACTTCATTATAATTTGTTCATAATACCCCCTCATTTTAAAAATCCTTGCAAACTGGGTCCAAACCTCCTAAAGTTCGAATTAAATTTTATAGCTCCTACCCAAAATCAAAACTCCTTTTCAAACTGTATTTAAACTCCATATTAAAATGTGCAGAATCTACCCCCACTTGAAAATTCTTTCAAAATATGTCTAAATTAACTAAACTTCCATTTTATTTAAATAATTTAAACCCCATCTTGAGATTTATATGCAAAATGAGTCCAAGCTTTAAACTTAAAGTTTAAATAAATTACTTTTAGTACCTCATTTGGAAATTATCAAGTAATTTAGTCCCATTTAATTTATAAATGGTCCCTATGTCTTGGTTAAATTACCAAATAACCCTCCAAATATTAATTTACTTTAAAATTTCCTAGGTAAATAAATTAATCTCAGAGTTTCATGTTCACGACAACATATCTTGGTTTGTCGCATCCAATACTAAAAAAACCCGACAAACGCACTTTAAGGTGAGTGTTACTACCCCTCATTTATATTTT